CCAAAATTCACTCAGCAATGGCTGTCAAGTGGCCCTTCTGACAGCATGAGCCATCTAGAAAGAGGGCAGAGGGTGGCAATGGAGAGAGTTCCCTTGAAACCTGCAACCACAGATTGTCACAGTCCCAGAAGGACACTTGGGTGCTGTGGAAGTGGCTCTTTGCTATTGCCGGCTTTCCTAAAATACACAAGAGTAGTGGCGCTAATCCACGGAATGCGCGGAATGCTCCATGAGCACAGGAGACTGCTCTCCACCCCCCAGGAAGTAAGACTGTCAGCCAGAGGTGTGTGTGCATCAGCAGCCACCAGGGAGCCCGTTCTACCACAAAGGCACATGCCCAGGCTAGTTCCAGGAGCTTCTGGAATGACAGCCGAGCATGCATGTCTGATGTGCACGTGTGCATGCGTGTGTGCACGTGGTGAGCAGCTCAACAGGTGATCCCCACAACTGCCCCATGACTGGACCTCATTTTCTCTTTAACTGGTCTTTCAAGGCGAGGTCACCTTTGCTTGTGTGGCCTTCTGTATATCCAGTATGTGCTTTCAGATGGCCAGTGTGTGTCCCCAACAAAGCAGCAGGGAGAAGATCCCAGCAAGCTGGCAAGGAAGGCACCCCAGCCCTGGAGGCTGGTGGGCACAGTCAGCGGGAGAGGAGGTGTTAACGCGGAGCGGTTCTACTTTTTGTTTCCTAGAAAGTCGGCAGCTTCTCCATCGTGAGGCGGCTTGGTGTGCAGGAGTGCATCCTTCTGGTCACTCAGCGCATCACCAAATACCCTGTGCTGGTGGAGCGTATCATCCAGAACACAGAAGGTAGAGAAGCACACACCATGCCCAGGGGCCACAGCAGGGCAGGGGTCCCTGTCCACCTGATGCAGGTTTTACCAGTGGATTGGACAAATTCCCCTAGCAATCCATTATGCTGGGTGTTGGGGTTTCCCACCTGAGGAGGGTGGGGCAGTCATCACCATGAAGGCAGGGGCTGGGTCTCCTCCACTCGTCACCACCCCTAGTGTAAACTGGGCCACAGAAGGCGCTGGGTCAGTATCTGTGACATGGATAAATGGATTGAGACCAGGTCATTCCTGGGTTGTCCAGATATGCCTGGAGATGACCTCTGTGTCACATGACCAGGGTCAAGAAACTGAGGAGCCTGGAGCTGTAGGGGACAGAGGAGAAAAGGCTGATAGCCAGCCCAGGAGTTCTCAGGGCCAGGCAGTGTTGATCATCGGGTTTAGTCTGTGGGAGAATGAGAAAGTTCCCCTGCCACATCCTCAGAGCAGGATGGGCCAGCTCCAGGTGACAGCAGGAGGTGGAGGGAATCTTGTATGATGAGCTGGAGGACTTGGGAGGAGTTTGTGTGCCAAGGAGAGACCAGAGAGCCATGCAGGGCAGTTGTTGTCACTTAAATTGCGCCTTAGCTTCCACATTTGACAGAAGCTCTACCTGAGTAAAAATGAAACTCTAGGCTATGGCATTTATTTTGGAGACCCATTTCTACCTCAGAAACTACAGTTGGGAGGTAATTCTTGAGGGTTCCTCTGACCCAGGGAATGTACCTCACAGATCCCATCTACTTAGTGAAGCCGTTTCCATTATGTTCTTGAGCACGGAAAAAGAAAGTGCTAACTCTGCTGTGTGTGGCAGCTGGCACCGAGGACCACGAAGACCTGACTCAAGCCCTGAACCTCATCAAAGACATCATCTCCCAAGTGGATGCCAAGGTCAGTGAGTGCGAGAAGGGCCAGCGCCTCAGGGAGATCGCAGGGAAGATGGACCTCAAGTCCTCCAGCAAACTCAAGAATGGACTCACCTTCCGCAAGGAGGACATGCTACAGCGGCAGCTGCATCTGGAGGGCATGCTGTGCTGGAAGACCACTTCAGGGCGCCTGAAAGGTAAAGCTCTGTCCCTGGCCACCTCCAGTGGGGGCCGTGTTGGACTGGGGGCACTGTCTTAGAGTGGCAGGTACTGTCTTGGATTGGTGAGTGCCCTCTTGAATTTGTGGGCATCCTCTTTGAGTGATGGGCACTGTCTTGGATTGGTGAGTGCCATCTTGAACTGGCACCAAGCCAAGTGGTACAAATATATCTCACACGATGTGACCCTTGCCCTCCTGGGGCTTCAGCATGTGGGACAGAAAAAGAAACAAGTAAACATTTACCAAAAAAAAAAAAAAAAAAGTGGTTACAAGTGTGGTAAATGCTTTGAAAGAACCAGCAGACTGCAGAGAGAGAGAATTGGATGAAAAAGGATTTCTGACTTTGCTAGTGGTATCAAAAATGGCTCTCCCAGAAGGTAATATTTGTGCTTCCTGCAACATGAATATACCTCAATTCAGGATTTGCACTTATATGCAAAAGCCTCATGATGCAAGATGTTCATCCAGAGACAAGGCACCAAGCAGGACTAGAGCATGAGGGGACGGAGATAAGCCCTCCCTAGTCACTGCAGTAGGGGGCAGGATGGGAGCACCAGCAGCTCATGGTTGGATGACCTGGGCAGGGAGCATGACAAGATTCGTCCACACTGAGCCATCAGCTAGAGCAGCTCCGAGGCCAGGCCTGGCCATGACAGCCACCTGTCGTGATGGCCTGGTGGTGAGGCTGGAGTCCTGACTTCAGCTTTGAACCTTGTCAGCTGGAGCCGGAAGGGATACCTAAGAGGGGACTCCGGCATTCACTGGTGATAAATATGGAAACCCAGAGGGTTGGGAGGGTGTGAGTAGACAGGAAACTTCTAGGCTCAAGTAGAAAGGTCTGATGCAAGAGACCTCCTGGAGAGGCAGTGACTGTCGGGCTTCCCAGTGAGACCCGTGGCTGCACAACTTCTAAGACGCCCCCTCTGTGCTCTCTGCAGATGTCCTTGCTGTCCTCCTGACCGACGTGCTTCTACTGCTGCAAGAAAAGGACCAAAAATATGTCTTTGCCTCTGTGGTGCGTACCCAGTTTCTCTAGACAAGGTCCTGTCTGTGGGGTCTGGTGGGTGTGGCCATGAAGGAGGGGGCAGGGGACAAGGAGAGGAAGTGCCACTAGAAGGCTGCACTGTGGCACCCCAGGCCCTCCCTTTCCTGACGAGGCCCAGGCTCCCATCCCCACAGGCTCTCCACCTCCCTTCTGTTTCCACGCATGTTCTTCCTCTTCCAAGGACTTGGATACTCACAAACGCCAGAATCCTGGCCGGGGGAGCCCTCCCTCTTCCCAGGGACGCACAGGCCCTATTATTAGATGCAAGCCCAAGCAGCCACTGCTCTGTGAGCTGTGACCATGTGGACCCCAGGACACCCTTGTCAGGGGAGCAGCACCCGCCCGGCTGTGTCACCCAGAACCCTACCCCAACACTGGCCCAGGACACCTTGGCACCTCACAGCACAGACCCAGCTGCAGGGCAAGGAGGTCAGACCCAGCCTTCCTGGGGCTCCAGCCCCATTGGCTTCCAGGTCACCTGGAGAAGAAGGCCCTCACCACTGAACCGAGGATCACATAGCTTCCCCCAAAATGTAAAGTGGCTGCTCAGGGGCTGGGGCCATGGTTCAGCAAAGCGCTTGCCTGGCATGTGCACGGCCCTGTGTTCCATCTCAGTGGCTTCTCAAGAAGTCCCCCACTGCCACCTGGCCCTGTTCTTCCCATCTCAACCCCTTGCAACTATGTCAGTCTGTTTTGTCAAACAGATGTCCTGCCTTGACCCATGCACCTCAGAGCCTGCCATGCCCGCACAGGAGGGTGACATGACAGGACAGTCCGCTGCCCTAGGTGGCTCTGTGTGCCTACTTTGCATCCCAGGACAGCCCTGCTGGGGGTTGGTCTCCTGCCTTGTCCTGTAGTTAGCCAAATGAGCCACTGTGTATCCCAAGAGATGGGGGCTCTGGTCAGGGGTGAGACATAAAGTAGCATGTCTTGTACCCCAAAAATATAGGGGCAGGGAGACCACATTCATCTGGGTGTAACTTTGTTTCAGAAACTTTTACAGTTCAGAAAAGCACAAAAAAGGAAATCAGAATAATCCTGTCACCCAGGGACATCGACTTGACTGTCTTTACCGTAGGGGGTCTGCTCAGCCGAGCTTTATGCCTTATAGGTGTTACAGGTGTCCACAGTGACCACTCCATGTTGCCACTGCACTCTGGAAACCACAGTAGAGAGTATGTACTAAGCCACATGCCAATAAAACCCTTTACACAGTCAGGCAGTGGGCCAGATTGGCCTTGGACTGGAGCTTGCTGACAGCTGGGTCTCCAGTGATAAATGCATGTATTTTAACACTGCATCTTCAAGCTTCATATTCTCTTACAACCTGCTTTTTTATTCCTGCTCAATACACTTTGAAGCTCCCTCCTCGGTGCATCCTTACCCTGTGGCATGGTGTTTAGTGGCTGCCTGCTCCTTCTATTTTATAGCCATCCTACATTCTATTGATTCTTTCCAAACAACTTAGATAAACGGTCTTTTATTAATCCGTTCTCCTGTTGGTGGATATGTGTGTGGTTTTGCAGTTTGGAAATTGGCAGGTGCTGGAGCTGCTTTGAATATCTGTTTTGGCTGTGTAGTCACATGCTCCTGACCATATCTTTTTGAGGGGAAGGGGGTGTTTACTGGTTATTAAACCAGGGGTGCCATATAACTGAGCTCCATCCCGAGTTTTTTTGTTTGGTTGGTTTTTTTGTTGTTGTTTTTAATTTAAGACAGTGTCTCACTAAATTGCCCAGGCTGGTCTCAAACTTGCTATCCTCCGCCTCAGCCTTCTATGTAACTGGGATTACAGGCAGGTGCTGTCCTGACCATATCTTACAGGTTATGAAGAGAACATTCTCATGGGTGGAAAGCCAAGGCCTGGGGAAATTAATAGTTTTGGTCCAAATGGGCTGAGATCCCCCAGGGAACATTCAGACCCCCAATAAGGGACGGTTGGATGTGTTTGCTGTGGCTGCTGTGGATGTGCCTGTACAGACCAAGTGATTCACACTGGAGAAATTTAATGTCTCACCTTTTTGGAAGCTGGAAGTACAAGATGAGGGTGTGCACAGGATTGCTTCCTTCTGAAACTCTCTCCTTGGCAGTACATGCTGTCTTTTCCCTTGTTCTCACAGGGTCATCCCTCTATATATGTCTGTGTCTTCATCTCTTCTCCTGAAGACACAGTCATGTTGAAGTGGGATCCACAGTACTTGATAAATCTCTGTCTCCAAATACTGCCACGTTCTGTCATGTCCTAGACTTTAGGACTTCAGCAGGTCTGGGGACGCAGTGAGCTCATGGCACAGTTGAGAGGTGCTTTTACTGGTCTGCTACAGCATTCTCTCTCACCAGTGCCCAATGGGCTGGGTGGACTGGTTGGCTCTGGGTGGCCTGTGATACAAAAAACAGATGAGGAGTTTTTGTTGTTGTTCCATACTGTGTTATGTTGTGTCCTGAGTTTTGTAGAATGTACCTGCATTACTAATTATTTTTAAGTTGTTACTGTGCCTATAGTTCCAGCTACTCCAGAGGCTGAGGCAGGAGGGTTACTAGAGACCAGGAGTTCAGGACCAGCCTGGGCAACAACATAGCAAGATAAAATTGACACATTAAAAGGATGTTAGGATATCATTGCAGTAGTGTTTTCCCCATTTGGCAAAATATCTGTGTTTCAGGTTGTTTGCAAGGAAACAGGGCACATGGCTTCCCTCTGTGTCCCCCGCCCCCAACCCTGAGACTCTGGTCCTGCTTTGGATGCAGCAGGTAAAATGTGACCTCCCCTCCACCTATGCAGGACTCGAAGCCACCTGTCATCTCTCTGCAAAAACTCATCGTGAGGGAAGTGGCCAATGAAGAGAAGGCCATGTTTCTGATCAGTGCCTCCCTGCAAGGACCTGAGATGTATGAGATCTACACCAGCTCCAAAGAGGACAGGAACTCCTGGATGACCCACATCCGCCAGGCCGTGGAGAGGTGAGAGGGCCTAGGGTCTCCCTCCCCGACTCGGGTGCATGTTCCAGGCTTCATGCCCTTGGCTTTGAGGGAGCCTCCGCCAGTCAGCAATGGCCTGTGCGGTCCCTGAGAGAGCCCTTGTTTTCCTGTCTCCCATCCCCCACTGATGTTCTGTCCATCTGCTTCTCAAAAATGGCACCATCTCTAAGATGGTGCCATTCCAACTCCTTCCAACAACAGTCCAACCTCTCAGGTGCCAAAAAGGCCTCAATGTGTCTGGCCAGCAGGGCTGAAGGGCCAGCAGATCTCACCTGGACCTTTTTGCACTCATGGGCCACTTGGCCAAACACAATGGGCTTTGCCTGCACACAAGTCTGAGACCAGACCGTTGCCATAGGTTGTGGCTTCCTGTCCTTCTTCCACCCATGCCACGCCCTCCTCTTTCCACCCGCCTGACTCCAGGTCTGCCTGGTAGATGGGCAGGGGGAGGCAGTTCAGCCAGCTCCCTGCTCCCCCTCCAGGTGCCTGGAGGCTTCTCACCACCTCAGCCTATTCCAAGCTCCATCGATGCTCAGAAGCTTCAGCCTCCCATGCCTAGTGGTCCCCAGCAAGCACTGTCCAGTAGCAGCCTCTTCGAGGGTACAGCTGGACACTTGGAACCCTTGCCTGGTTACACTCTTGACACTTAAAGACCATATGCATTCCCTCAGTTCCCTGAGGGAAAACCACTCCCCAAATCCGAGATACTCTTAGCAGCTGAATCTACAGAGCCAGCATAGTGTCAGAGGCCCACCAGTTAATTCTGTATGTCCCCTCTCTCTGTAGCTGTCCCGATGAGGAAGAGGGACCCTTCAGTGAGGTCGAGGAGGAGCGGAAGGTCGCTGAGGCCCGCGCCATGAGACTCCGGGACTTTCAAGGTATGGGGTGTCAGCGTTATGGGCATGTCCCTTGTGTGGCCATGGCTCTGCAAAGCCCTCCTGAGACAGCCAGCCCTGAGCCCCCAGCCCTCAGAGGCGTCCCTGTTCCGTTCTGTGGAGACTGGATGTGGAGGATCTCACCACTACGCGGCCAGCCACTTCGCTGTGAGCCACTCACGCCCTGCAGCTCTGCGAGGGCTTCGGAAAAGGACTGCTGACAAGGCAGTGATGTCCCAGAGGCCTCCTGGTCTCTGCAGGGGTGTGGGAAGGGAGAGAGCTGACCTCGGGGCCTCCAGTCCCTTCCAGACCCACCTGTCTGCATTCAGGAAGGAGGTGCTAGCACGCAGAGGTCAGCAATCAGTTTTGGAGCATTTTCTTCACCCTGAAAACAAAACACCCCTTAGCAGTCACTTCAGCCCCTGGCCACCACCAGTCCCCATCCCATTTGTGGACACGCCCATTCTGGGCATCTCGGGTCAGTGGAGCCAGGTCCTTGCGCACCTGGCTTCCCTCACCAGGCACAGTGTCTTCAAGCCCCATCCACATCATGACATGTCAAAATCTCACTCCTTGTTAGTGGCGGAGGGGTGCTCCAGGGTGGATGGAGCACACGGTGTTGGTGTGTCCTCCTTCCTGTGCGGCAGATTCTGTGAGAGGTGGATGTGGTGACTGCCTGAGCAGCTCCTAGTGCCCGTGGGCTCGACAAGTCCCTTCCTCCTTCCCACTCACTGTGTTATTTATTTCTTTGATTAAGTGGTAGTTAGGCGATAAGTACATGTAATTTAATAGTCTATATTTTATTTCTTTTGTGGGGAGAGGTGCTTTAAGGACTTTATGTATTTTAATAAATTTGAGAGCATTAATTAATGTCCAGAAGAAAGACGGAAAGAATCCTGTTGAACCCTAGGAGGCCTGACACCTAACGTAGTGCAGATCTCCTCGGCTTACGCTGGGGTCCCATCCCAGTAACGTTGTGCTTACACTCAAGCTGCCAAACATCGCAGCCCGGCCACAGGGCCACTGTCACGTCTTAGTTGTTTCCTCTTGTGCCCAGGAGCTGCTGCTCACGGCCACTGCCCCTGCTCAGCTCACAAGAGACTAGCCCAGGAAAGCACGAGAAATCAAAGCTCAGACACATTTCCACGAACACATAGCACTTTCGCATCATTATTAAATCAAACTACTACAAGTTGAACCATTGTGAGTGGAGGACCATCTGCATTAATTTCGTCTCCTGCTAACTGCTATTTTCTGCTGGGTGGTAACTCGAGTTTATCCCGCAGGGAAGCACCTCCAGGTGGGCTCTGTCCTCCTGCTTGGCCCCAGATCCGAGGGCACAGAATCCAGGGGAGGCCGACCCAGCTGACCACCTCCTCCATGTCCCTCCACAGAACGACTAAGTCAGAAAGACCAGCTGATCGCCCAGAGCCTCCTGGAGAAGCAGCAGATCTACCTGGAGATGGCAGAGATGAGCGGACTTGAGGACACAGCCCAGTCGCGTGGACTCTTCCGCGGAGGCGATGCCTCGGAGACCCTGCAGGGGGAGCAGATCCTCAAATCGGCCATGAATGAGAGTCAGTCAGCACCCCACCCTGCCGAGTGTGTGGGGAGGGGCTGTGCTCTGGGATCCCAGGCCAGGCCTGAGGCTGTCTCGCCTGACCCAGGTCCCGGTGCCTCACTGCAGACACACACTTTCTCTTTCTGTTGACACACACTCTCCAGGTGCCCCCACCAGCCCTGGGGATCTGAAGTTGACTGATACAGGCCCCCCTTCTTTCTGAGTTATCCCCAGGAAAACACACGTGCACACTTGGCGGGCCGTTTCAGGGAACCCCCCCAGCCCAGCAGCTGCCAGCACTAGTAGCCTTGGCAAAGGCTGCAGGCCAGTGAGGTGCTCCCTGTCTCCACGCATGCTCTGCCCTTCTGCCAGCCGTGGCCAGGCCTGCTGCTCGAGCCCTCAGAGCACAGCAGAGCTCCCAACATGCCCAGTGTGGCCGCTGCACCCTCCACTGGCCCAGCATCATACCACTCTTTCAACAGCAAACAAGACAAGCACAGCCCCGTCCTTGGTAGCTTTCCTGCAAGAAAAGAACAGAAACCAGATGGCATGGGGGTCAGTCTTTCTCTCTCTGGCTGCACCCACAGTGTCCTTCCACCCATTTCTCCAGTAGCCATTGTCCTTGGCCCCTGAGGAACTTGCATATTCTGCACCTAGGCCTAGAATGTTCTCTCCACTTCTTCAGCTGGCCAGACTTTTGGTCCTGGAGGGCTATATGTGGAAAGCCCCTTCCCCCAAGAGTTACTCCCTGTGTGGCCCTCATGACACAGCATGGCCATGCTCACGTTTGCACTAGGCCGGGTGGAGCCTGGTCACTGCAGCCAGCGCCTGGGTGGGTTAGCAGGAAGGACATGAGAAGCCAGCACAGCCCTCCCATGTGGCCACTCCTGGCCTTGGCCTCTCACTTGGGATTGGCAGGTCCTGGTGGCAGTACCAGAAGTGAGGGAGTGCAGGAAGCACCGGGAGTGCAGGAAATCTGGGCTGGAAACTGGAATTCCACATCAGACAGTGGGCGGGGTGACCATCGCCCAGTGAGCTCCCTGGGGTCTCAGCTGCTCCCTGACACCCCCAGCGTGCCTCCACAGTGTGACTCCTTCCTCCTGTCTCCTTCCACAGTCGAGGGTATCCAGAACCTGATCTGCAGGCACCTGGGCTGCAGCAGTGGCCTAGCAGAAGAGGGAGGTGGCTCCACAGGCCTGCCTCGGAGGGCTGAGACCTTCGGAGGCTATGACAGCATGGGCAGCCCTAGCAAAAGTAAGTAGTGTCTCCTGCCTTGCCGCCTACCTGAGGGGCTCGTTAGCAACAGGTCTGAGTGTCCTCTGAGGTTGCACTGTTTCTCAGAACATTCAGCACCCAGTCCGGCCTAGCCATTTCTGCTGGTCTCTGTGCTGCAGAAGCCCTTGCCTTGGCTCACACCTGTCGTCCCAGCAACTTGGGAAGCTAAGGCAGGAGGATTGAATTTCAAGGCCGGCCTGCTGAACTTAGCAAGACTGACCCTGTCTCAGAATAAACAAGAAAATAAAAAGGCTGGGAATGTGGCTAAGTGGTAGAGCACCTGCCTATCACTGGCAAGGCCCTGAGTCCAAATCTCAGTACTGGGGTGGGGGAAGCCACCATGGATTTCCTACCTGGGCAGGGCTGAGGGCAGAGGAGGGCTCCAGATCCCATGGGATCCACAGTAGTCTCATAGGCCTGGCGTGGGCTTCCCAGATGGCAGTTTTAAGAAGAAAGTCTGCAACTGGCGAGGGCCTGCCAGCAGCCCAGACTCGAAGCTTGGAAACGGAGATGTCCCTGGGGGCTGCGAGGAGTCACCGCAGGCGGTACGTGACCTCTGGGGATGTTGTTCACTCCATACAGAATCAGTCCAAGTCATTGTAGTTGTCATCAACTAGTGCGACTAACTTCTGTTAGGGTTGTCTGTTTCTCTGTCATGGTGACTTCCCCAAGTGCTGCCGTTTTATGGCAAATTAAGGTTCTCTGACCCGAATGCTGTGCAGCCGGGTAATTTTGTCCTGCAGCCCCCTGGGAAAGGCAGCCAGTGTCAAGGAGGGAGGCGGGGAGGGGACAGGCTCAGGGCATAGCCATGGCTTCATCAGCAGGCCGGAAACCCCATACAGGAGCCTCAGGCTGTCGGCACAGGTATAGTAACACCTACCAGATGTGCCCACGACTCGCCGGCTCTTCCCTCTCCTTTGACTCAGAAGGCCCATCACGTGTCTGGCCTTGCCAAGGTTTGGGCTCAGAGGCCACAGCCAGCTGCCTCTGGCCAGCTGAGGCTTGGACTCGCCTCCATGCCCAGAGCTGGTGTACAGGCTTCACATGTGGGCCTACACTCCCATGGACTGTGATGCTGTCTCCCACCTCCAAAGCTGCCCTGTACCTTCATTCTGCAGACACCCAGATGGGCATGTCAGGTAGCCAGCAAAACTGCCCCCTACAGCGGCCCAGCCCTGGGTGCTTTCTGTTGCCCATGCCAAGGGAATGTCTTGCTGATCTCAGGCAGACTGCACCTCCTTGAATTAGTCCTAGATGCTCTGGGTTTGATGCTATAGTCTTTGCAGGTGGAGATGCCAGGTTCAGAGACTAGCCCCCGGCTGCCCACTTTCCTGGAGTCAGAGGTAGGTGGCATCTGGTCCACCTTGGGGATGGCACACAGGCCCCATGTGCTATTGGACAGAACCCAGAATCTGCCTTTCTCTCCACAGCTTGTCCAGCGGATCCAGACTTTATCACAGCTGCTCCTCAGCCTCCAGGTACTAGGGTGTCAGGGAGGGACCAGCCACACTTGCCCTTTCCTAGTTATCTGGGTCTGGGCAAGGACGTGGCTCTCACAGGCCCGGCTCTGACCCTGTACACAGGCGGTCATCGCCCAGCAGGACAGCTACGTGGAGATGCAGCGGGCAGCCATCCAGGAGCGGGAGAAGCAGTTTCGACTGCAGTCGACGCGCGGGAACCTGCTGCTGGAGCAGGAGCGGCAGCGCAACTTTGAGAAGCAGCGAGAAGAGCGTGCTGACGTGGAGAAGCTACAGAATCAACTGCGACAGGAGCAGCAGCGCTGGGAGCGGGAATGCGCGCGCCAACGGCAGGAGTTGGAGCGTGCAGGCGCACGGCTGCAGGCGCGGGAAGGCGAAGCGCAGCAGCTGCGTGATCAGCTGGACCATGAACGTGCAGAGCTGGAGCGACAGCGCCGGGCCTACCAGCAAGACCTGGAACGACTGCGCGAGGGCATGCGCGCTGTAGAGCGTGAGCGCGAGCGCCTGGAGCAGCAGCGGAGGCTCAAGAAGCAGAACACAGTGCCAGGGGCACTACCGCCCGGGGCGCTGGTGGAGGTGAGCCAGAGCCTCGTGAGATTGGACTTTTGGGGTATCAGGTTGGCACATGCATTTGCAGGTGTGAGACCGAATGTCAGAAAACATGAGCATCTGGTGTAAGAGTGAATGTGTGGGCTGGGCGTGCAGTTCGGTGGTAGAGGGCTGGCCACACACACGTGAAGCCCTGCATCCTACCTGTAGCACTGCAGATGAAGATCATAGTGATGACGTGTGAACGTGGTGGCACTCCTGTGGGCCCAGCACTGGGGAGGCCAAGGCAAAAGACTCAGTTGAGCCCCGGAGGACCGACCCACCTGGGGACACAGCCACATCCTCTTGAAAAAATATTTTTAAAGAGTGAATGTACAAGCATGTGTGTGTGCATACATGTGAGATAGCTGTAAAAGTGTATCTGCACACTGCAGCAGAAAACATAGTAAATGTCGATGTCTTCTTTTTTTCAAGAAGTAGTTTGTATAAGCAGCATAAATGTGAATGTGACTTTCGTGTGTGAGAGCATGTGTGGCTGAGTGTGAACATGAGTGTGCACAGCTTCAGGTTGAGCCCAGCTCTGCATGCAGAACAGACATCCCAGGGGCCATCTGGACCAGGTGCAGGGATCAGCCCTCTCAGCCCCGTCTCCCCATCGCCTGGCTCTCCCTGTCCCCCCGGAGCCTCCCTGCCCCCCAGGGCCTCAGCCTGGCAGGACCCTTGTGCACATCAGGGAGAGCGGCCCCGTGGGAGAACTCCCTGCAGATTCAGCAGCACTGGGACATATCTTCTGTCACTCTTTCAGGCCCAGCCGCCAAGCCACCCTCCTAGTTTCAACGGGGAGGGGCAAGAGGGACCCCTGGCCTTGGCTAAAACACCTGGGACCCGGGCGAACCTGCTGCTATCCGGTGCTGGGCCCGAGTATGTGGAGCGCCCTGAGGTGGCCCGCCGGGACAGTGCCCCAGCTGAGAGCCGGCCAACCAAGAGTGACGTGCCCATCCAGCTGCTAAGCACCACCAACCAGATTCAGAGGCAGGCGGCAGTGCAGCAGCAGATCCCCACCAAGCTGGCCGCCTCCACCAAGGGCAGCAAGGACAAGGGCAGCAAAAGCAGGGGTTCCCAGCGCTCGGAGAGCTCAGGTGAGCCCAGCCCCAGCTCCAAAGCCTGGGCCTGAAAGAAGTGGGCTGTCTCCAGTGCCCCTTCCCCCTGGACCCGGAGGTCCAGCCATGGGCAACTTGTGAGAAACTATAGGGGCTCAATGGGACCAAAAGCAGGATACTAGTGCCATCTAGAGAGGGTACCAGAGGAAAACCAGAAGGTGCAGCTGTGACATGCCAGGGCCTCCCCTCCAAATGGAGGCCTTTTTCTCAAGCAGAATTGAAATGGCAAGCCAGGCCCCATGTGCTTTCCCACAACAGGCCTCAAACAGTAGGATGGGGGACAGGGGAGCTTCCGAGAGTCACAGGCCAAAAGTCAACCTGCTCACTTAGGACCATGTAGCTAGAGCACAGGACAAGTGCCAAGGGCTCTACACAGTGTCCTGGGTTAACAGAAGGGGACACTGCAGCCCAGAGAGGCACAGTCCCTTACCCTCGGGCACCTGCAATGAGTACCACCCAAGAGTAAGCCCAGGAACTCCTCTATGCCTGCCCACTGGGAAGTATTCCCCAGGTCACAACTAGGGATGTTCTGAGACAAGATCTTAAGGAGCAGAGCCTGTGTCCTGTGACCTCTGGGGCATGAGGGTCACTGGAAAGGGATACTTCCCCGAAAGCAGTGCCTTCCCTTTGTCCAGAGGATGGCTGACTCTGAGGGTCCGCCCTGGGCACTCTCAGGTGGGGAAGGTCCGGCATCCTCCCAGTCCTGAGGTGGCCTGCCGCAGGGCCCAAGCTCCTTCCCTCTTCCAGCTTCATTCGACCTCAAGCAGCAGCTGCTTCTCAACAAGTTGATGGGCAAGGACGAGACCACCTCTCGGAATCGCCGGTCACTGAGCCCCATCCTGCTCAGCAGCCACAGCTCCACGCCTGCCACAGGTGAGCCCAGCACCCCAGCAGCGGGGCAGTCTGCAGCACCTGGTGACATCTGACACCCCGGTCCCCTCTCTCTTCCAGACTCCTACGTCCCAGCCCCGAGTCCAGCCCCAACCGACATCCCTCCTGAGGCCTTCTTCATCAAGGCTGGGGGCACATCCTTCCCACCTGTGCCCCCGGCTCCTTCCCCACTACAGGCCACCAGGGAGGAAGCCAGCAAGGAAGACGTCATCTTCTTCTGAGGGGCTGTAGCTCCAGGGGCAGGCCCTCTGGCCTGTCTACCCTGAGTCTCTGGGGACCCCATGGGGTGACTGCCTGCCCAGCTATTGTCCTCTCCTGCCCAGGCACACGTGCCCTGATGTCCATCTGGCCTGGGTCAGCCTGTTGGTGCTTCGGGTCTCGTGGCTCTGTCTGTAGGATTAGTGGTAATGCCTGGGTAATTTCATAAACCTCTTTTTTTATTCATACATAAAAGAAAGTTTTTAATGGAAAGTTGAACCAACTAAAGCAAGGAGTTGTTTTAAGCCGTAGCACCCCTTTGGGTAGGAGAAAGGTCAATTCCCAGTTGTTTGCCCAGGCAGTGAGGAGTGCCAGGGGGCCCAAGCAGCTGGAGGACAGGCCAGGCCTGGGTCTGAGGAGCCGCTGGCCAGGCCAGGCTCCACAGGTACCAGGAAGCACTGAGTGAGTCAAGTCGTGAGGGCACCAGGAGGGGCCATGGCATCCATGTGTGTCTGCGAGTCAGGCAGAATCCCCCTCCAAAGCAGCCCCTTCCACGCTGGTCACCAAGAACCTCTGTCGGCAGGGGAGGGCAGGGCAGGGCCCACCCAGGAGTAGTGAGGACCAGAGGGAGGGGCTGCCATGGCACTTCAGGCATGTTTTGTAGGTTCGGAAGCTCGTCCTGAAGGGGCCGACCAGGCATGGCTCCTTTAATTTGACAGAGGTTTCCCAACCGCTGGTCTGCTTCTCGAGGGCACCTGCCGTCCCCACCGCTCAGCCCATCCAGGGCACCAAGCCTCGGCTCAGCCAGGGCTGGCACAGGCACCCCAGCAGAGGTCCTCGGTCTCCTGTGAAATGGGCAGATTTTCCTGGGGCTTCTAGGAAGAAGCCCCTGGGCTGTGTCCGGCCAGAACGGGAGGGAATGCCTGGAGAGGCTGCCAGCAGGTGCACAGGGGGCCATCTTGGGGCGCCTCACTTGCACTGGCCTGTTGCGGCCTGGAGTTGGCTTCCCCTAGAGGACTTGGGGCAGGGTTTTAGGGGTGGCCCAGATGGTCAGATCCACATTCCAGCTGCAGCCAAAGCAGAGCCTGGCTGCCCAGGGCAGGAGGGGCGCGTTGCCAGCCTTGCCCCACACCCAGGCTTCCCCACGTTGGAAGTGTTGACAGCAGGGCCAGGTCCTGGGCTGGTCATTCTTGTTCCCAGAAAGGGGCACTTGGGCCCAAGCCAGGGCCAGTGTCCTGGGGAGCCTCAGTGGGGAACTCAGCCCTTCTCCTGCTATGTCAGCAGAGTCACCCCCTATGACGCCCAACATAGTAAGCTGGGGGACGTTTCCACCACTGAGGGACAGGTGGGCACAGAGGAGAGGAAACTGTTAGGACCTGTGCAGCCTGCCATCAGCTCCATGAAGCCAAGGTGTCCCAGGTTCAGGAGGGGACTGGGCAGGTGCAGGCACTGACCAGGAGCCAGGGCCCAGCCAATGGCTAGCAGGGTTCTGAAAGCAACAGTGGTAGTGAGTGGTGTGGTGCCCAACCTCTTCTCCAGGCTTCTGGCCTCTGAGAACCTTGACTTTTCCCACCCTGGTCCTTTTCCATCAGCAGTGCTGTCCTGTGTCCCGAGTGTCCCCCGACCCACCAGATCTCATCTGTGCCATGTTTATAATCAGTGTTTTGTATTTTTGTACTGAGACGTATTGGAGCACTTTAGAAAGGCTAAATTCCTGCTCTATCGTGAAGAGAACATTCCTGGACTCCTGCGCTGGTGGCCTCCCAGCCCGTCTGTCTGGACCACCCACCCAGACATGAGGACTCCTTGAACTTAGACAAGCGCAAGGAATTTCTGCCCAACCACACAGCGGACCATCAGCAGGAAGGGGGCCTCCCCGTCAGGTGGCCAGGGAAGGGGGGGCTCAGTCAGGCTCCACACGCAGTAGGGCAGCATGGCTGGTTCACCCTGTTACCACACCCACGGTCACTCCTGGGTAGAGCCCAATTTTATTTGTAAAGCTGGTAGCTGCGTAGTTCCCCGTTTCTGTGGGTCCATGCTTGTGGTCTTGGGTGATCGTGACCATGACCTTAGCCAACGTGACAATTATTTCACAGTGATTATGTTTCCTACCACCAGGTGTTTGGGAACCACCCTAGAACTTAAGACCAGATTCTAGCAATAAAAGTGTCTAAGATGATCTCTGACTTAAGTGGCTGTTCTCGGGAGTTTGGGGGGCTATCTCTAGTCCAAGTGTCAGCCTCAGGGACACTGGGAAGCAGGGGAGGGGCAGGCAGGAGGTGATAGCCATCTGTACAACTTCTGTGGGGCTAAGTCCAGGCATAGGGATGCTAGCCCCTTGGGGGACTTTGAGCTGGCCCACTCCCTGGTCTGTCCCCTGCTAAGTTCCCCCAACTGCAGCTGTCCCCCAAGATCTGCCTGACAAGCCCCTTCCCCTGAGGCACCCCTAGGCCTTCCTCTGCAGAAGTGCACGGGCTCCTGAGAGGTCGAGTCCTCCACCATGGGGTGTGCACGGATGTTCCAAAGGAAGGCCGTGCTCGGGGTCCACAGAGGGGCCAAGCCCTGAAGTTGAGAGCTACTGGGCCACAACAGACCAGCCTCCGAGACAGTGAATTAGTGGTCACAAGCCCAGGGGGAAAGAGGGCAGCGGGCGATGGCTAAGGGTGCAAGGTTCCTTTTCAAGGAGTGAAAACATTGTCAGCTGGTTGTGGGGGTGACTGCACAACTGAATCCACTAACCACTACTGGCCCGTGCACCTGGAGCAGGAGAGGGGCAGGCAGGGGGAGTGTGCTGCTGTCAACTTCAGAGGGCTGGGTGGCTCAGTGGCAGGACGTGGGCTCAGCATAAGGCTCTGGGTCTTGTCCTCAACACAAACAGAAAAAACTAAAAAAACATGAAGAGCCACTGGACCCCTCAGAAGTGGGAAGGGGGCTCCCTTTTTTGGGAGCACCTACTTGCTCTGTGCCTGCACCCCATATGGTCAGTGTCCCAGGCCTTCTGGTCCAGCTTGTATGCCTAAGCCTGGCTTCCTTCTCTGGTTTCCTGTGGCCAGGCACCACACGGAGGCCCTTCCAGGTCTGAGCTGTTTGAGGCTGCAGAGGGGTTACTGGGTGTTGCCAAGACCCCACCCCTCATCTCCCTGGTGCCCCTGTGCTGAGGGCCAGGGTAGACTCGCACCCAACCACATGGACGGAGACTGACTGGGCCTGGCCCACATGTGGGTCCTGATGAGGAGGCCCACAGATTATCAGGACAGGGCACCTGGCCTGGGGACAGGGAAGGGGGAGTGTCCGTGCCACACGAGGCTCAAGGGAACACACACTGCCCCAGGGTCTTCCCAGGGGTGCGCAGACTCAAACATCCTTCTTTGCCTTCAGACTAGAGAACGAACATGTCCCAGCCCACCACATTTCCATGGTGTGGCACACATGGTGTGACACCAGTTCACATGGCCTAGCCTCAGTTCAGAGCCCATGAAATGCACATAATGGCCCAAATGGACCTCAGTGGCCATGGATCTGTCAACGTGATATGAGTTAAGTGTAAGACCAGAGCCACAGTGAGCAGGAGGAGGGTGTGGCATGGGCGTGGCCTGTCAGGAAGCAGCATCCCTGTCCCAAAATCTGAGGCTGCGGGGAAGGGTGCTCAGGGCTAAGGCTGCCCAGGGTGAGTGGGCAGCACTTACTCGGAGACAGAGAGAAGCTGTGGGACCAAGAGCATCCTGGAAGGCGAGCTGAGGAAGTGAGGTTCCAACTGGGCTGTGTCTGCTGGTGAGAGAGCCAGTGGGTGTGGGCAGGGGACGGCCAGGGTCCAGGAGCCATCAGTGTAATCATCTCACACTTGAACTGAGCACCAGCACCAGAATGTTTAATTGATTCTCGTTCCAGCTTTCCCAAGGTCCCACTTGAAGCATGGCATGTGTCTCTCCTGCTTGTCTTCATTTGCTTATAGGACCCGGCCAGCAGACACAAGGCTCTGCAGAGGCCCACACAGGGCCTTTCCAAGCTCTGCCTTGGCTTGGGAGTCCTGGGGTCTTCCCCATTTGGCCCTCCGAGAAGAGTTTTTCCCACCAAGGCCCTGGCTGGGATTCGAGGGTCCCCATACCAGCCCCTTCCCTCCCTACCTATGCACCTGCGCCAGGGCTGCTCAATCACAGACGCATTCCCTGGCTGGCGGTTGCTCTGTGGGAAGGGGCCCTCCGTCGGGTCCAGCTGGATCCACCTGCTCCTCACACCACGTCAGGGGCTGGCAGCCTCAGGCTGGCCGCTAGCCTGGGCCGCCTGGTAGATGCTGAGCAGGGAGGAGATGGTGCCCATGAGGCCCACCAGCCAGGGGGGGAAGCGGCCGGCCCACAGGACACCTGGTGGCAGCCAGTGCACGGCGTTGGCCAAGTCAGCCAGGTTGCTGAGGAGCGTCAGCACCTCCGAATGCATCCGCACCTCGATGGCCCTCTGCTTGCTCTGGGGCAGCCGACTGTGGGAGCAAAGCAGCCACTCACAGCCCGCCCAACCCCTCGCCCCAGGAAGGCCCCAGGCTGGAAAGAGGACGGAGGCTGCCTGTGAGAGGGAACGGCCGGCGGTGAGGCCATCCTGACCTTCCATAGGGCCTGCACCCCCAACTCCCCCATAGGGAGCCCCCAGCCTCAGACCCATACTCCAGACTCCCTGAAGAAGGTGGGGAGGTTGTATGGGGGCTACAGGGTTTTAGGAAGATACGTCAGTGACAGTGGCTACTGTCCTCAAAATCTTGCCTCGAGATCATCCTCCCAGCCAGGGGCACAGCCCTGAGCACCCAGCCCTGGGTCCTTGCTCTAGCAGGTTCTACTTCCCACCCAGAGGCCAAGGTGAGGCCCTGTGGCCTGCACACACGGGCCAGGGAGGGGATAGCTGACCACCAGCAGCCCAGCGGGGCACCTTCCCGGCAAGGGCCAGGCTTACCTGGTAAGGTTGGCCATGGGGCTCCTCAGCCTCTGCCTCAGCCTCAGCACTGTCCACAGGGACCTGTAACACCAGAGACAAGAGGGAGACCCGCTGGAGCAGCAGGTACCCTGGTGGGGCAGGGCCTGGCTCCCCGAGGCCACCTGTTACTACAGCCACAGGTTCCTTCAGAGTCTGCTGAGCTCTGGGACAAGCGCTCTTCCCTTTCCCTGCCACCAAGGATCCTGTGCCTGCAGGGCAGAGCTCCGCCCCTGGCAGTGCCTCAGAAGCCCCCAGGACAGGTCACACAGCCCCACGCTGCCCAGGCCACACCATGGACCTGCCCAGGGATGAAAGGCCATGAGCCAAGTCCCCCTCTGACCTACAGCCTCTGCCACATCCAGAGCCTGGCCCAGGAGTCTCTGAGCACATAGGGAGAGACAGGCAGGCTACACCCACAGACAGCGACCTCAAGGGGACCTCTGAGATCAAGGGGTAGCCACTGCCACCAAACAGAACATGAGGAGACAGAGTGCCGGCAGCACGAAGACTAGAGACTGGAAGGAGCTGCTCGAGCCTAGGCAACGGGGCCTACTTTGGGGGGGAAGATCTTTCTGGTTTCCAGACTGTGGACAACCAGTACCTTGTCAGGGCATTGGTAAGGATGTGCCTCATCCTGGGACAAGTGACAGCAGATGCAGACACTGTCCCCAGAACAAAGAAGGTTCAGCCTCCCTTCAAGAAGTTAGGGATGGCTCCTCCCCACTCCAGGGATCTGGGGCTTCTCGGCCATCATGAACCTGGGGACTGGAGGACCCTGCTCCTCAACGTCTTCTCTAGGCCAGGGGTTCTGAACGAACTGTCTCAGCAAATTTGCAGAGGAACACATTTAGGAGGAACCCATTACTGTGAGGTTCTAGAAACAGTCAGCTTTCAGAGCACAAAGGCAGTCAGGAAACAGCTGGCTTGTTCCTTTGGGGATTCTGCTGACAAAGCAAGCAGAAGTCAGCGTCCAGGGAGAGGTCACCCTGCCGTCCGCCTCTCTAGTTCCTTCTCCTTCCTGGGTCTGGTCATCAGAATCACAGCCCCTTGCCCAAGAGGTCCCCAGAACATATGAATGTGTGGCTGCAGGAAGGATGAAGTACCCTACGGCGGGGGTCATCCCAGATATCAAAGGGGCCCAGCTTCACCACAGGATCCTCAAAAAAGGGAGGCAGGAGGGTCAGGGTCAGGGTCAGAGAGATCTGGAAGATGCTGCTGCTGGCCCTGGAGATGAGGAGGGGGCCACAAGCCAAGGGCTGCAGGTGCCTCTAGAAGCTGGGAAAGGTGGGACCAGCCGCTGAGGCCTTGACTTTAGCTCAGTGAGTCCTGTGTCGGATCCCAGCTGAAACATGACCTTCTAACTGCAGGACTGTGACATGATCAATTTCTGTTTAAAGCTACATTTACTACAGCAATTATTAGAAATAAACATGGCAGGGTGGCCAAGAAAGAGAAAAACTCCAAGAGCTGGAGACCAGACCCTCAGGCCAAGGCAGCCTGCCAATGCCACCGCAGCCCTGCTGAGGAGACTCCACCAGGGACCACGGGGCTCCCTCTGGCTGATGTCACTCACCTGGCAACCCCCAGGAGCAGGGAGAAACCCCAGAGGGCAGTGCTCAGGGTCCACCATCTGGCAGAGTCCATGCGGAGGACCTTGGCGTCAGCGGCCCAGGCCACGTGCTCGCATGGATAGTAGAGCTGGTCAGCTACGTTGCCCAGGACAGACAGCCAGCGGACAAAGACGTCCTTCTCCTGCAGCACCAGGGAGATGAAGGGCCCGCAGTCAGACAGACACACTGCCCACTTCAGGGCTGTGGCCACGGCACTGTTTCTCCCCAACACAGTCCCAGGATCATGCCCAGGCCCAGAGGTTGTCCATGGCCAGCTGCTGCAGATGAGGACGGCCCGGGTCCCAGGGCTCGTTTCTGCTCGGAGCAGCAGGTCTCAACTCAGCTGGGCAATGGAATCCCCAGGGGGTTAAAAAAGCCCATGCCCCAACGCCAGCCCTAAGGATCCTGCCTCCATGGCAGGCGACGCCAGCTCTGGGATGTTGTCCGTGGATCTGTATTTTAAGTTCCTCGGGGATTCCCACATACGGCCAAGTGGACACACCTGCACCAGCCTGCCTTCCTGAAGGCTTCCAGTTCCTGCACAGGGCTCAGCTGAGGCTCTCTGATGCAGGACCCTGGGTGGGGGCCAGGGAAGGCCACATGCAGGGACCAGGGGGAGGAGGGTGCAGTGGGACATGAACACCAGCTGCCACACCCCAGTGTCAGCTGCATGCCAGGCCAGCACAACAGTGCAAGGCTTGTGTCACCTCCCCAAACCCAGGAGCTCAGCACCTCACATCACAGACTGCAGATGGAAGCCCCTCGCTCCTCCTCAAGCAAGGACTGGCCTCCTGGCAGATGAAACAGAGCCCCCAGGAGCTCTCGGTCTGCCCCATGCTGGGCCACCTGCCCCACGTGTTTGTTCTTTGGGTTTTTGTTCTGTTTGCAGTGCAGCATTTGAACCCAGAGCCTTGTGTGCTGAGCTCCACCCCCAGCACCTCTGCCCCCAAGTCCAGAGTAACTACCTGTATGTTACCCAGCCAAGCAGGCTCAGTGCAGAAGCAACAGATGCACAAAGCATACCAGGTGGCCATAAAGAAAACAGGAGATCTGTTTGGAGGGATCAGAATTGGCCTCCCAGTTGAACTGTTCGGAGGAAACGGTTAAGTGGTAGAAGAGAGTAAACGGTCCAACTAGCAACAACACACTTGCGCCTGCGTAGGTACAGGAAATCTCATCAAGGAGACGAGGAGCTGACCACAGCTCCTCTGAGGAGGAACTCTGGGGTCCCAGAGATCAGGGTGGATTATATACTCATGGGTCACACAAACAAGCAAGCTTTGTTTTTAAATTAAGGGCTGGGGATGTAGCTCAGTGGAAGAGCTCTTGCTAGCAAGTATGAGGCCCTGGGTTCCAACCCCAGCACTGCAAAAAATTAAAAATAATAAAATTCAAATTAAAATGAGAACATCTGATCATCTCAAAATAGAAAGTAAAATTTAAAAGATAATAAACTGTCCAACAGGGAGCCCTTTGGGACAAGCCCATAAAACACCAGCTGAGCCCAAGGCCACAGGCTTCCCAAGGGTGGGGACCCCTCCCTACAGCCCCTGCAGTTACCTCTGACCCCAGGCCGTACTGCTTGGTGTAGACAAACATGGCCAGGTCGTCAAAGAGTCTCAAGACGGTCCTGCAGTGGCTGAGCTGGGCCGACACCACCAGCAGGCGTGTGCCCATTTCGGACCTGGCAGGACACTGTTCAACCAGAACTCCGCCAACCAGCTGGCAGCAGTACCCCAGCGTTCGGATCTGTGGGAAACCAGAAGCGATCAACATGGCCCTGCTCCTGAGCTGCGCTGGACCAACCGGCCGGGCCCCCAGCCCTGCAGGACTGAAGGTGCAAAAGTCAAAACCAACAAGCATCCAACAAAAGCTCAGTCGGAAAGCAGGACAAATGGAAAACCACCGGACAATGGTCCAAAAGGAGAGTCTAACAAGAGTCCTGGCTCATGTCACTGAGAGGCACAGCCTTTGGGGACAGTGGTAATGGGGACAAAGAAAAGAAAACTACTTCCCACCTCCTTGGTCCTCCTTTCCCAGAAGGCCAGAGGAGGGGGAGGTTGGAATGTACATTTGCATCTCCCTGGCTGGGCAAAGCCCTTAGCTGGGCCGCAAGCTGGGAGCAAGTGACCTGTCTCAACCCAGTGAACAGGACAGTAATTTGTTTGAATCACTTTAGTGACAAAGGGCCCACTCAATAAGTGATTTGGAGGATCACAAAAGAGATCAGGTTCACCACCCGTATGTCTTTCATTATTTCACCTGCTTCTCAGAAATTGCTAGTTCCTGTTGTTTTACATATTACTTTACCTGTAATTCCTTTTGAGCCCAGGTGTAATGGCAAAACACTGCCATTTAAGTGTCCAACTTAGGAGCTATTAAAACCTGACCATTCACCCATAGGGGACTTGGTTGGAACCTATCTGCCTCGCCACCCTGTTCAACCTAAATGCTACCTAGGAGGGACTGGCCAAGACAAGCTAAGAGTCCAACCTAAGGGACTTGGATGGAAAAACCTTAATGCTCAACTAGAGGAGATTTAGTTGGAACCTAAAAATCCAGACATAGGGGGAGTCCTGAATCATTCTAGATGCTGATGAGATCATTCACAGCAACCTAAGAAGCAACTTCAATGACCTAGTCAGATACTCATATCCAAATGTAGGAACCTGCTTGGTTAGTAAATGTCCAGTCAGGATGGGTTGGCAGGGACAATCTAAATGATCAAACTACAGGGGACTTGGATGAAACCCACAATGGCTGGGTTACAGTAGGGGCCTGGCCATTGTGGGCTCCCTGGTACCAAGTTGGCTGAAACAACCTAAATGCTCAACTTGAGGGGATGCGGTCAGAACCTAAATGTCCAGCCACGGGGGAAGCCCTGCAACAGCCTAAGTCCCCAGAAGAAAAACCGTTCAGGACAACCCAGGAACTAACTTCAGTGGCTGATCAGATCCCAAGGGTTCACACGAGGGAACTGAGGCAGTGGTTTGGCAGGAACAACCTGTATGTCCACCCTTAGGGGGCGTGGCTTGAGCCTAGCTCAGGCAGGGCCTTTGCAGTGAAGGATCCTGAGCGACCCTGTCCCCTCTCTGGCCTCAGTTGCCCCATCTCTGAACTTCGACGGAACTCGTGGCCTCCGGCCCCGCTCGGCCCCAGCCTCACCAGGCGGTCGCGGCCCCTGTAAGACTCCAGCGCCGACGCCAGACCGTTCAGCGCCGCCATGGCAACTCCGCCGTGACGTCAGCGCGACGCCAGCGCGCCGCGCCAGGGGGCGGGGCTAGACCGCGTCCCGGGAGCTTCCGAGCGGTCCGCGAGCACTCTGCGCAGGCGCGGCCGCTGCCCTTTGTCCCTGAACTGGACTTTTGTCTGTTCCACCCGACTTTGCAAAAGTTTGGCGGCCACGTGTGTGCCGCCCGGGCCTGTGACCGGATGAGCCAGCTGGCCATCATCTGCCCCATGGCGGCCTGATCAGCTGCCCACTCACAGGGCATTTCAAAATTGTGTGCAATAACCATGGATTAGCTCGCCCAAGACTTCTCAAAAAAGTGAACACCCCTTTCCTTTTTTTTCCTTCCCCTCTTTGAGGTGGAGTTCACATAACGTAAAGGCCTCCATTTTAAAATGCATAATCCAGTGCCACTTAATACATTCACAGGTTGTGCCCGCACCTGCCCTCACTGGTTTCAAAGTATTTTCATCAGTCCCAAAGGAGACCTTCAGAGGAGACCAGAACCTGCCACCACAAAAACATGTGTTCTGTTTATTTTTCTAGTTGCCTATCCCTCCTCCACAGATCATGAACTCCACCAGGGCAATGACGTTGGTCTGTCCTGGCACAGAGTGGTTCTCCATGAGTGGGATTGCTTGCAGGGCTCAGCTCCCTGTCCAGGGCTCTCTTCCCACACTCCATATGGCCCCGGGAGAACTTGTCCACTCCCAACTACAGGCATGTGGTTGGAACTCGCCACAGCTAGAGCTGGGAGGGGATGGCAACAAGTAAATGCCCAGTTAGAAGCATTTTGGCCGTAATCTAAATGCCCATCCGTAGGACAGCATCCTGAATCCTTATGTGACATCATTCAGCACAACCCAGGAACTCACCTCGGTGGCATGACCAGAACCTAAATGGTCAAACTGGAGATTCGGTTGGTGTAGGAAGGTCCAGCCCAATCCAGTCCCCAGTACTCTTCCAAAAAAACAAGATCCCTGGCTGAGCGCCGTGGTGCACACCTGTCATCCCAGCAGCTCGGGAGGCTGAGGCAGGAGAACCTCAAGTTCAAAGCCAGTCTCGGCAAAAGCGAGGCGCTAAGCAACTCAGTGAGACCCTGTCTTTAAATAAAATACAAAAGAGGGCTGGGGATGTGGCACAGTGATCAAATGCCCCTGCATTCAATCCCTGGTACCCCTGCCCCAAAGAAAAGATCCCTGGAACCCATCTATTTCTTCCTGGCCCACAGCCCCCTCCTTCAGTAGCCCCTGTTCTTGCTCGTCTAAGACCCTGACTTCCCCACAACAGTCCAAGCAGTGCACCAGGCCTGACTTATGCTAGACAAGCGCTCCACCATTGAGCTACACCCCACCCAGCCCCTCAAGAAAAAATAATTTTAACTCCCACATCCAACCAGTGCCAGTCCCTAGTAAGACTTGAGTGCAGGGGAGTTTGTGTGCATCATCCTTCTGTAATTGGGGTCACTGTTTCTGCAGCAGAAAAAGATCCAAGCCAAGATCTTTTCTTGGAAGCATGCAGAAGGAAGGAGGCCTCTAGTTTCTGCTGATGCACAATTGGGGGATCCTTTCTCTCAAGCCCGTGCAGTAACCCGCGACTTTGTGATACCACAGTGCATTTCTCTGGGCAGCTGCTGGGTACCAGGCCCTGTTCCAGGCACCCGAGACACATCAGTGAGCTTTGCAGGCACTGCCCAGCCTTCCCAGCACCCGCCATCTGGTTCGAGCTGAACTTGACCTTGGAGAAAGAGACTCAAGCTGGCCTGGCCTTCACAGCTGGCCTTGGTGTTGCTAGGCACTAGTCTGGCAGTCACAGCTGGGCCCCGGCCAACATCCTCCTGCTCAACATAAACAATCCCATGGAATGCCAGCATCAGACAAGGCCACTCTGTGACCCTGGGAGGGCAAGACAAAACAAGCCCGCTCAGCGATCACATCTGAACCCAGGCAGAGCAGGAACGTGGGTGACGGACCCCCTTCCCCTAAGGAGAACCTTGCTAATCCTTCACCCGTCGCAGATTTAGTCTTGCTGCATTCCTCCAACTTCTTCCTGAAAACGATTAAGATACGCAGTAACAGAATGACCTCAATCCGGCTTCCTATGAGCTCCAGATCTGCCTCCCAGACCCTCCTTTTCCCAGCAGGCAGCAGGCCTAGGCTGAAGTATGAATTGCAGCCGTCTGGCTGGACCAAAGCCAGGAGCTGGCAGCAGGTGCTCAGACCTCAACCCAGGGGGCAAAATGATGATTAGCCTGAATTCAGTGCGAAGGAGCCATCTCGAACTGCGTCAGCTTCGCCACTCTGACATCGTTATTTGGTTGGTTTTGATGCTTTTAATTTCTCAGTCAACTGGGCACAATGGTGCACACCTGTAATCCTGGCAGCCCAGGAGACTGAGGCAGGAGGATCGAGAGTTCAAAGCCAGCATCAGCAAGACCCTAAAGTACTCAAGTAGACCTGTCTCTAAATAAAGTATTAAAAGGGCTGGGGATGTGGCTTAGTGATTGAGCACCCCTCTGTTCAATCCCCAGTACCCCCCCAAAAAAAAATTTTCAATTAGTTTTACTGAAGTACAATTTATATACAATAAAATTCCCCTTTTTTCTCTTTTGGGGGTACTAGGGATTGAACTCAGGGGGCACTTGACCACTGAGCCACATCCCCAGCCCTATTTTATATTTTAATTAGAGACAGGGTCTCACTTGAGTTGCTTAGCACCTTGCTTTTGCTGAGGCTGGCTTTGAACTTGCAATCCCCTCCTGACTCAGCCTCCCAAGCAGCTGGGATTATAGGTGTGTGTCACCACGCCTGGCTAAAATTCACCATTTTAAGTATACAGCTTAATGAGTTTCAGCAAGTGTACAGTTATATAATCTACCATAACATTCAAAATACAGAACATTTCTATCATTTCCCAAATCTCTCTTGCCTTTCTTGTGTGCTTTCTCCCTCAGTCCTGGGGACTGAACCCAGGGGTGTTTACCACTGAACTACATCCACAGTCTTTTTTTTTTTTTTTTTTTTTTGAGACAGGTTCTCACTAAGTTGCTGAGGCTAGCCTCAAACTTGCAATTCTCCTGCCTCAGCCTCCCCAACCAATGGGATGACAGGCATGCACCACTGCTCCTCGCCTCCCCCTCCTTTTTAAAAAATATTTTCTAGTTGTCAATGGACCTTTATTTTTATATGCATGCTGAGAATCAAACTCAGTGCCTCACACATGCTAGGCAAGCCCTCTACCACTGAGCCACACCCCCAGCCCTTGTATTTTTTTATTTTAATTTTTTAAAAAATTTCTTAGTTGTTGATGGACCTTTATTTTATGTATTTGTATGTGGTGCTGAGAATCAAACCCAGTGCCTCACACATGCTAGGCAAGTGCTCTACCATGGAGCCACAACCCCAGCCCCGCCCTTATATTTTTAAATTCACTAATTTTTAAAAACAACTTTAGATATAGGGTTTCATTAAATTACCCAGGCAGGCCTTGAACTCCGGGTTCAAATGACCCTCCTGCTTCAGCCCCCTTAGTGCTGAGATACAGGTACGCACAGTGGGTTTTGTACACTGTATGTTCATAGGGAACACAGCACGGTGTTTTGATATGTGCATGCTGGGCAAGGACCTCCTCAAGCCCGTTAACATAGGCATTATCCCACACAGTTTTTGTGGTGAGAACATTTAAAATCTACTCTCTGGCTGGCGGCAGAGCTCAGTGGAAGGGTATTTGCCTAGCACTGGGGAAGCCCTAGGTTTGATTCCCCAGCACAGCAACTTTCAACTATACAGTACAATATTGTTATGCTCTTGTATTGTATATTGTTTTTATTTGTCTGATCATCTCAAAAAAAAAAAAAGTAAAATTTCCAACCACTGGGTATGAGGTGAATGCTTGTCTACTTAATAGGTATGAGGCCCTGGGTTCCATCCCCAGCAGCGTGAAAAAAGAAAAAGGGAAAAAAAAGTCCAACCAACAAATGCATCCAGCACAGAACCCAGTTCAGCGTCCTTCAACTCTCCCCCGACCATTCCTGGGCCCAAATCCTCCTCAGTGGGTTCTAATTCTCATGAGACTCCAAGAAGTCATGTCTAAAAGCCTCAGGAAGCAGGATTGAGAGCCAGGTCCCCACCGCCTACCTCCAGGGGTGCCAGAGGACCATTGTGACAGAATGGTCAGGGGACGCTCTTGGTCACAATGGGCTGAGCCGGACCACACTTGGATGGAGCCCTTGGAAGGACCACATGAGTGTCCTCTGGAAGATCTGGGACGGAAGGAGTCCAAGAGTCCCACCTGTGGCCAAGTGCAGGATTCCTTAGCTCCCATGTCATCTCTTGAGGTAGGTCTCTGTCCTTGTCCCTGTCCCTACATGGAAGGATACTCAAAACTACCTGGCCAGCAATCCTGGTTGTCAGACTCCCAGAAACTATTTTAGAAAGACAAGAAAGCCCCAAGTGGCTGAGTGGAGGGGCTGTGAGTCTGAAGTTGAAGGTCGGAGAAGGAAGGGAAGGGGAAGGTGTCTGACCCCCAGGCAGCCGGGAGACAGGAGGAGCCGGTGGGGAACCGGTAGGGCCCTGACAGCGGCAGACACAGAAGGAGCACGTGCTGCTTCAACAAGACAGTCGCAGGGGCTGCAGGGCTGGGGTCGAGCAGTGGGCCCAGGTGGGAAGGAGAGGAGCCGTGGCTGAGGATGAGAAGAGGGTTCCTGTGTGAGGCGCACATGGAATGCAGTGGTTAATATTAGGTTCTAGAATCAGAATCAGTCCTGGTTTCAAATCCTAGGCAAATGGCCACCTCCCTGAGTCTCAAGGTCATATACGAAGCCAAGGCTAAAACCCACCTCACAGGGTCCAGTGTATTAAAATGGTTGCAAAGTGAAAATCCCATACATACTAGCTGTGGATAGACATTTTCCCCCATAATAGTG